GTGAAACCACGCAGTGGTGCAGTGAAACATGAGCTGTGTAGTTTGGTGGTTGGGGACTCATTGTCACTCTTGTACCATTTTGGCTCAAGAGTGACAGCCTTCGGTTCCCCCTTGTCATTTGCCATGTACCTGGAACTGGTGATTCTGGTTTCCGTGGTTGTTGGCGTGCTCTTGGGGTGTGCTGGGGCGTGGTGCTGCTGCCATCGCAGTGGCACTCGCAAGGTGTCAGCGTTGACACCGGCCTTGATTGGCCCGGGCGATTTTCCAGGCTTAGGATATGGCACGAAGCCTGTTGCCCACCGACGTTGAGTTGGCAAGTTTGCGCACCATCGATGATGTGTTGACCTGGGTTGGATTGGATGAGGCCCCCCTGGCTGGCCATGTCAAATTGTCTCGGTGGTGTTGATAGTATGCGGGTGTTTGCCTCTCTCCCCGCTGCAACCCTCCAACCAGCCTTTGAACGTGCGCGAATTCCTGCCACCGCTACCACGGCTGAGCGTGTTCTTACAGCTGTGGAGATCATTCAGATTGGGTTGGTCTGGCGCATTACAAGACAAGCCTACGCCCTTCCTGATGTTGATCCATTGCTTCCTGAACCATCAGCCCATGCAACAGGGTCAGCAGCAGCTAGAACAGCAGCCCCGGCTTCGATTAGGTCTGGAAGCTCACCAACAAAGCGTGTGAAGATGTCGACGGCAGTGGATCAGTTGGATGAGTCGGAAGTCGATTTGTTGGATGGCAACGAAGTTGAACAGGCCTATAGGAATTTTAGAGAAGCAGTTGGGGCTGACCCGTTGGTGGATGCTGACCCTACAGTTGAACAAATTACAGCCATGTACACAAAAGTGCTGAAGAGATTTGAAGCTCCCTACGCTGATTTCTCGGTGCTTACTCCATTCGGTAGGAGAACACAGAAACAGGCCAAGGCGAGGAATTTCATTCTGCAGCAAGATGGAACGTGGAAGACAGTGGAGATTCCAGGTCCACCAACCTTTATGGCTTGGAGTGCATGCTGGAAGATCTATAGAACTGTTCTCCTCATGTTGAAACATCCTGCAAATGCTACCACAAGGACACCAGCAACACCCATCGTTACGGTTGCTGCATTGGAAGAGTATTACAATCGTATTGTGGAGCTGAATAATGAATTTCCTGAAGCCTGGCACCTGATTCTACAAGCAGAAGATCAGTGCAGAGGGGAGCAGTTCGAGAGGTTTCAACGAGAGCTAGTGAGAGCCAAGAACGAAGGCAGGCTGCCGATGAATTTGGACTTCGATCAAAACAGGCCATGGGTTGGAGTCTTCCAATATGCAGCTCGGTGTCAAGAATATTGGGACAGAGTTGTCATTCGGCCAGCGCAGACATTCTTGGCCAGAGGTGGCGCAAGCAAGAATATGTCGAAGAAGGACGCAGAGGATACGCAGTACTCTGAGGCCACTTCGCAGGCTTTGCATCGACCACCAGGTGAAGGACAATCAAAAGCAGCTCGTCGCAGACAGAGAGACAAAGCAAAGATTCAGAGTCTCCAGAAGGATCCGGGAGCGGAAAAGTTCTCGGAAGCCCCATGGAGGAAGACAGCAGGTGCCGGTCCGCAAGCAAGCCAACCTGACAACACCCATCCGCGACGTGCAGGTCGAGAGTTTCAGACGGATCGTGAAGGTCGTCAAGTCTGTTTTGCATTCGCCAAGGGTGCAGTGGGTGCTTGCTCAGAGCCGTGCCCCCAGGGAAGGTCTCATTGTTGTCAGTACTGCCTTGGTCCCCATCCGAATTCCCAGTGCCCGAAAGCCAGTGAAAAGGGCGCGGGTAGAGGACGGGGCAAGGGCAAGGGCAAGTGACAGGAGGAGGAAGAGCTTGCGGCTGTGGCAGATTTTACAGAGTCGCAGGCGGATGCACGTCAGAATTTGCAAGAAGCTCAAAGTGAATTCAGGGCTGATGTCGAGAGGATGAGGCCTTTTCAGTTCGGTGAATTTTTCGCTGGATATGCAGGTTTCTCAGCTACAATGGAAGAGCTGGGTGGTGAGGCAGTCAGGGTGTCGCGACCCTTGGATGGTTTTGAGGGTTGGGATATTTTGACCGATGATGGACTGCAGCAGGGGCTGGATTTGTGCGACAGGCTAGATCACGGACACATGGCGCCTCCATGCCGGACGTACACACGTGCAAGAAGGTCGGATGAGCACGGAGTCGTCAAAGTCTTGAGGTCAGACACCAAACCAGAAGGCTGGGGCGATCCCGAAGCAGAAGAAGCAAACAAGATTGTGGCTCGGATGATTCTGTTGGTTTTGAGGCTGACGGAAAGAGGGAGCACTTGGTCGATTGAGAATCCTTGGGACTCCTTTATTTGGATGCTCAAGTGTATGGCCAGGCTCTTTCGCATCCCAGGAGCTGAGCTTGTATTGCTGCATCAGTGTCCGTACGGGGCTGTTACTCAGAAAGCAACGGGCATCCTCACAACAAGCAGCTGGATGAAGAAGGTATGCGCTTTGTGTCATGAAGTCGGAGCGCATTACCATTTGAAAGGAGGCTTGGTGGGGATGACCTGGTCTTATCTTGAGGACAAGTTTGTTTGGCGCACATCACTTGCTGCAGAATACCCATGTGGCCTTACAGTTGCGTGGACAAGAGCGTTGCTTGAGTGGCTGGATACAGAAGAAGGGTACACATGGATGCAAGCCAGAAGCTATGTGAAACTAGGCAGGTGGAAGAATACACTTGCACTGGCGGGGACTTTGCCACAGAAGAGAAAGACAACGGGTCCCTCCCGGATTGAGACCATCGCTGAACGAAGAGAGAGAGAAAACGTTGAAGCGTGGGGAGGTTTGCGCTTTGCCAAGCGAGCGGTTGCACGGTCTTCTTTGCTGAGAAATGTGGGGCTTAGGATTAGAGCAGTGATGGACGACTGGATGACAGCAGAGCTTGTACAGGAGGTTCAACAGAAGCTTGAGGCTGGCATTTCAGAGCAACACATTGATCAGTTGAAGATCAGGCTATGCAAAGAGTTTGGCGTTCAACCCAGTCAGCAGGGATGGCCGGTGGAGTTGTGGCAAGCTTTGTTGGCAGCCGCCGATGATCCTGAAAAGGAGGTGTTACCAGAATGGATGACCACGGGCTTCCCCTTAGGCATTGCTAGCGAGATCAAACAAGTTGGAGTCTTCCCTAGCACCATGGAGGATACAGCTGCTGTCGAAGCTTCAAGAGTGGAGGGCATAGTGTTGGAGGATCACTTGGGTGAGCTGACAAACTATCGTAGCTTTGTTCAGGAGGTAGACAAAGCACAACCACTTTTGGATGAGATGTTGGACAAAGGACGAGCGCAGCTGTTTCATTCGTGGGAAGAAGTTCAAACAGAGGTGGGTCACGCAGCAAGGCTCACGAAGGTTGGCTGCATTGTCAAAACCAAAGAGGATGGCACAGTCAAATCAAGGCTCATCTTCGACGGCCGCAGGTCCGGGGTCAATGGCATGATCAAGTGCCGTGAGAGGGTGACATTGCCAAGGATTTCAGATGTTGCCACAGGGTTCTTGCAATTGGTTTCAAACAATCAAGGATGGTTCCCAGACAGCTACATTGAGTTGATGGCCTTAGACTTCAAAGACGCGTTCAACATGTTGCAGTTGCGAGCAGACGAACGTTGCTACGTGGTCATCAAAGGCCAAGACGACGAAGAGGGCTGGTCAAGGTACTACGTTTGCAACTGCGTAGTGTTTGGGCTGGCTACAGGGCCATTGTTGTGGTCACGAGTGGCAGCAGCAGCAATGCGTCTGGGTCAAGCAGTGCTCAAAAGCCATGAGACTGACATCAACTGCTACATTGACGATCCCTTGATTGTTTCAGTGGCCAGTTCCCCACAGCAGCATACACGACACTTGCTTTACTACACAGGGCTTTGGTTGAGTCTGGGCTTGGAAGTGTCGTGGAAGAAGGTCCATAGAGGCCAAGAGTTGCAGTGGATAGGCTTCAAACTCAGCGTCTGTGGCCCGGATAGCTTGGACCTTCACGTGGAACTGGCTGATGCCAAGCGAGATAAGTTGTTGCAAGTGTTTGACCAGCTGGAACAATCCCGAGGCATGATGCCGCTGCAGCTACTACAGTATGCAGTGGGAGTGTTAGGCTGGTTGTCTTCAGCCATACCTGCCGCGAGACCATGGTTGGCTATCCTGTGGTCAGTTATCACAGGATATAGAGAGCCTGTGAAGTCAACAACACGGAGAAGAAAAGGGCGCATTTTCGTCAAGCAGGTTGAAAATGCAGTCCGGTGGCTGAAGGGATTGCTACACCTGTCGGAGGGAAAAGTGGGCTTGAGCAAGATTCATCGCTGGCGGCCGTATGCAGTGACTCTGTTGTTGCAAACAGACGCTTCTCCATATGGTTTGGGAGGCGTGTTGATCAAGCAAAAGCAAATCATTGCATACTTTAGCAGTGCATTGACAGCAGAAGATTACAAGTTGTTCAACGCCACACCTGGCGACCCTTCATTCCAGTCGGAATACGAGCTGTTGGCAGTCGTTGTCGGCTTGCGTAGCTGCGCACAGATTATAGCAGACCTGGGAGCAACGAGAGTGATCCTTAAAGGGGATAACACTGCAACCCTAAATGCTGCAATGAATCATCGTGCGTCAAGCCCGCTGATGGCGCAGTTGACTGCGGAGCTGGTGTTGGAAATGGAGGCACAGGGACTTCATGCCATAGTGGCACAACATTTGCCCGGTTTGCTGAATACACTGCCTGACAAATTGAGTCGTCCACACACGGAGGCGATTCCGTTGGAGCTCAACAACATCCTTCGTTTGGATGTACCTAGAAGGTCCCAGCACTTTTACCGGACTTGGCCAAACAAGCCAAATGCCTGGTGAGAAAACAGACATGGGACGGGTTTTGGCGACGGAGTCAGGTGGAGCAGATGGGTGTTTGAACCACTGTGCCAAAACTTCTTGGAAGAAATTCGGTTAAGGATTTCTTTTTCTCTTGGTTGGAGTCCTTAGTCCTTCCTCTTTGTTGGAGTGTTTGATAGGTTAGTTCTCCTTGTTGGAGTGTTGGATAGGAGAGTTAGTCCGATAAATATTTTCTCTTGGTTGGAGGGTTAGATAGATAGCGCACCAAAGAAAAGGGGAGGGGAGGGCCTCTAGTGAGGGCTCCCCGTGTGTAGCAGGAGGCCCTTGGTTGGGGCCTCCTCCGGGGTGCTCCTTGGTTGGGAGTACTCATAGCCCGTGCACTTGGTTGGTGTGCGTAGGTTGGCGTGCATTGGTTGTGCAGGCTGGCAATAGGTATCTTTGCAGGGTGAGGTTATGCCTATCTTGCTGGATACCACGTGCATAGATGCTCAAGCACTGGACAAAGAATCCGTTTTGCCCGGGGGGAGCCAGGCGGGGATGGGCGGCTGATCCGGTGAAAGAGAAGGAAGAGCCCCCTGCAGTGGCGGAGGCAAGGCGTAAGTTGGGCTTGAGTATCGTGACACGCAGGGAACGTTCGAGAACACCTGACAGGTCAAATAATTCGTGCACGATTTTGCAAACTTTAATTAGAGGACAGAACGTGGTGAATGAACGAGCACGAGAAGAGTTGACTTCTACGTCGACGGGAGAGGTTGGTGAAGCTGACCCTGATGTGCCACCAGGATTTCATAGGAGTGGATTGCGGCTGACCTTGCATAGCGGAGAGACTTTGACAAAGGCCAGATTGGACGCACCTTGGCTCCCTGACCAGACTCAAGGCAAGCAGAATCGCAGGCAGTCCAAGTTGGCGATACAAATTGCTGGTGATGAGCAAATGCGGCAGGAAGCAATGGCTGCCTATGATGCACTTGTTTATGCAACAGGGTCCACGCAAGCCAAGGATGCGTTGTATACCACTTGGGTGAACATCAGCAAAGCAAAACACGAAGAACCTCTCCCGCTGACAACCGCCAAGATTCGGGAAAATGCTGCCATCCTGCGCAGTGCGGGCTATCGTGCTGTGAAGAGCTATGTCTACGAAGCCAAGGATAGACATTCCAGAGCAGGCTATCCGTGGTCAGCGGCTCTGCAGATTGCCTTGCAGGATGCAAAGCGGATGGCGCAAAGAGCTATCGGCCAAGTTGAACGAGCTGGAGAAGTCAAATTAGAAGTTTGGGCAATGCTCATCACAAAGTTTGGCAAGCATCCATACCCAAACGAAGCGGCGCAAGGGGCACCCAACGCGGGCGCTCTTACATGGATTCTGGGCACTAAGTTTCTGCTGCGGGAGGTCGAGTTGGCTTCGCTCACCTTAGACACGAAGTGTGTGCAGCTGGATCTGGGCTCGAAAGTGGCAACGTTAAGACTGCCAGTCAGCAAAACAGATGTTGCTGGGAGGGGTGCTGCTCGGGCCTTTGGGTGTTATTGTCAGACTACGGGTGATGTGTGTTGCCCGTTTCACGTGTTGGTTGAAATAGTGAACAATCAATGTCAAAGGCTGCGAGTTCATGATCGGAGTGTGTTGCCAGAAGGTGCGATTCCTCTCATAGGTCAAATAGCCGACGCTGGGCTTTACGTTGACAAGAAGGAAATGATCTGCGAGGCCCAGAGGATGGTAAAATTGGCCAACGGGACATGTCCTGAGTCCAGCATTGCGGTGGAGACCATCACTGGGCATTTTATGCGACGTTCTGGTGTGAAGGATATGGCTAGAAGAGGTTGCGCTTTTACCACCATTCAATGGTATGCTCGACACAGTAGCAAAGCTACATGGGACTACATTGAAGAAGCCTGGGGAGACACTCCGGAACAAGCCTTGAAGCTCAAGAGCGAAGTTGAATTTTCAGAGGCATTGGCAAACACCTTGAGACGTGTAGATTGCCTGGAAGAAGCGATCAAAGTGCAGACCAATTCGTTGGAAGAAGCTCTGCATCATGATGGCTTTAATGTTGAATGTGAAGAGACGAAGAAAGAGATGAGGAAAGAAGCTCGAAGAGCATTGCTTCCTCTGTTCGTAGTAAATTTAAGTTCAGGTGCAGTCCATCGCCCATGCCATTCTTTTTCCCCATTGGTAGATCCGAAGAAATGGACAACCAAATGCGGATGGCCGTGGGTTCAAGGTGACGTACCATGCCAATTTGTTTATGAAGGGGACGACTTGAAACCTACCACCCGGAAGTGCCCGAAGTGTTTCGGTGGGTGAGAGAAAGAAAGTATGGGGCTGATTTGAGGCAGGGGTCTGTTCTTGGTGTGACACCCCGGGTTTCAAATTAATGTTTGATGGTCCCCTGCACTTTCTTTCTTTGAAGTGTTTCAAAGACTGATACTCCACCAACTTCGGGATAAAATGGTGAGATGGGTTCCCTCTGGGTGGTAGGGTGGGGGAACCTCTACGCAAGCGGTGTTTC